CCTGCCCTCAGACCTGGCCCAGTGCCTGCACACGCCTGAGGGAAGGCAGCAGAGGCTGTGCTCCCTGTGTGCCCATAAGCAGAAAAGGGCCGGTGGCTTCCAGACTCGTTGTGCGCCCCAAGGGAGACAGGGGTCCTGCTTCTGGAGTGTGTGTGTGTGGGGGTCTCTGTTCATGCCTCCCCCTCCCCCTCCCCAAGAACTCACATGTTTCTCTGCCCCAGGAGCAACTCAGGAGCTGGCCCGCAAACACGCTGTGATCTGTACACGAGGTAAAAACTAGCTGCCAAAACTAAAACGGAAAATCTCACATAAGATCCTGAGTTTCCAGCCTCCCTCCCCCGACACACAACCCGGGCAGCACATTCCCGGCACCACTGGCCGGAGCCAAGGATGCAATGCCCCCCAGTGAGGCTGCCCCGCCCACCCGCCTCCACACGCATGTCACTGTCACCCCCACAGGCCCACGAGGGACCACTGCAGAGTCTGGTGCTTCTCAGCCTTGCCCATCGGAAGCTTTAAGAACCAGACCGGGGCTTTAAGAACCAGAGGACATGTCCAGGCGGACGTCGTGAGGGTCTCGGGTGAGAACAAGACCCCGTAGGTGCTCCTGTGAGCAGCAAGGTTGGGGATGGGCAGCGTTCTGGTCCTGGGCTGAAGGCTCCGGATGCAGGTCGCTTTGCGTGGCTCCCAAGCCGCTGAGCGTGGCTCCCAGTCTGTGGCCCCAGCAACAGCCCAGCCCCTTGGCGACTTGCTCAGAAGAGGGACCCCTCTGCTCCTTTGCCTGGCGCCCCAGGAGGCCAGGACACTGTGCTTTGCTGACTGTGATGCCCAGACCCCAGCCCTGGCACGAGGGCCAAGCGTGAGCAGCGGCGGCAGGGCCAAGGGCGGCCCGGCTCTGCTCCGAGGAAGATTCGCTCCTATATATGGTCACCGGGAGCCCCATCGCGAGCTAATGTGTGACCTAATGTGCTGACAATCTCGCCCGCCTCGGTGAGGGCTCTCGGCCTGGAGAGTGTCCGCGTGGGGCGGAGGGGCTGGGAGGAGACAGTGGGGCGGAGGCAGGGCACGGACAGTTGACCCAGGCCCTCCCTCCCCCTCCGCCCAGAGTCTGCGAAGGCGACCAGCTCCCCGCCGACGCTCTGTGCAGACAAGGAAAGCCACGAGCCACTCCGGCCTTTCAAGTCCTTTAATACCGCAGGGAAAGACTATCCTTCTAAGGGCACGTCGCATACAGGTTCTCCAGGAATAAGGCACACAACGGAATGCCATCCCGAGGGCGACCCTCGGAGAGGTCGGGAGCCTTGCCCTGCTCTCCGGGCTGGGCCCACGGGCCATTTGTCTCTTTAGCTGGACACACACGCATGAATGGATACAGACACGGACAGGCCGCCCCACGGGAGCGGAGGAGGTGAGCCGTGCGGCCGGCAGCGGGGGGCAGCCAGGCTGCTGCCCCCGGCCCCGGCGACACCTCCCCCACGCCAGGGCTGCTGTTAGACTGGGCTACCATGTAGTGATGTCGGTTAAATACGCGTTTAGAATAGATTCAAGTCTACTAGACGTTAGAGGGCAAGTGAGGGCTCTGGTTGGCAAATCCAAGTTCAAAGAGCCCAGGGCCCCGAGGCATGGCTCAGATGGCCACCCAGAGGGTGTGAAGGCTGCCTTCCTTCCTCTCAGCCTCCTGGGGCCCCGCTGGCTGGGCCCTTCCCCAGGCCAAGGCCACGGGGCTGACCACAGGGGGCTGGTTAGTCCCATGTCCCTTTCTCCCCCCCCGGCCCACCTCCTCACCCCCTACTAAACTAATAACCATAATAACGAGAGCATAATAAGAAGGCGCGAGGGGACGGGTTACAATGCTGTTTGTTATCCTCAGCTGAGGAGGCTCAAAGGGGTTCCATCCCCTTTCACTACAGACCTAAGAACAGCTTCCCTTACAAGGGCAATACTTTCCAGATACACACATGTATAAATACAGGACAGACACAGACCAATGCGTCTAAGCACTTGGGTAATATGCTGGCTACTTAATACTGATATTTTCATCCAAGGAAAAAAAAACAAACAAAACAGAACAGCAACAATATGGCTTAAAGAATTGCAAAGATTTTTGTTTTGTTTTTCCTCGTCAGAATTATGTACCAACTTCATATAATATTCTATGGAGACAATATTTCCTTCTTAATGTAGTTCGGTTGCATACTTTTTACAGACCAAAGTATAGTAAAAAAAAAAAAAAATCAAAAGAAAAACAAAACCAAACCCAGGAGAAAAAAGTTCTCACCATAAATATTTTTCTCACACCTCAACAAGGTTTGCAAAATACTTCCAGACATTTTGTTTGATATTCTATTGCCCTCCCGAAAGTTCTGAAGTTTTGAAAATGCCTCTCTTTGTTTGTGTTTAATGTCAAAAATCAAACAATTATTTTTTTCTTTTCTTTTCTTTTTTCTTTTTCTTTTTCTTTTTTTTTTTTAAAAAGGCCTTCCAATATATACAGACAAAAACCACTGTGAGGATTTTTCTCAGGAGAAGGTAACAAATTCAGTGTTGTGAGAATGATTGGTAACTATGCAGAAATTTTAACATCTATGATTTTTTTTTCTCAAAATACACAAATAGTATTTGTCTTTTTAAAAAAAAGGAATTCTGTGTCAAGTATAACTCAAAATAAATACAAATTCACAAGTAGAACTACTGAATACTTCCACGGGGTAAACACTGTGATCTCCCAGCTACATTTCTAGACCTACTCACTACGAGCGATTGTCCCTTTCGAACGTCCTCAGCCACACACTGCCCGTCCCCGGGGCTCCGGGGCCTCTGAGCACGTCATTCCCACGGCAGCCAGCCTGGGCACCAGAGGCTTTTGCTGACGCCGGAGAGCTCCCAAGTCCGGCCAGAACAATACAGAGGGCCCAGCCCTCCATGGCCAGCTGGGCACAAATGGCAGGGGCAATGGCTGCCAGCCGGACAAGCCCACTGGGAAGGTCGCTGTGGGATGATAGACCATCTCCTGTTGGCCCCTGGGGGGCCCTGGCCTCCAGGAGTCCCGACTCTTTTAGGGTTCGGGCTTCCCCTACCTCTGCAGCGGATTTGGCAGGTCCCAGCATCCTGGGACCAAGGTCCCATGGTGGGGCCAGGTCCCTGGCAGAGCTGGGGCCCAGTGCTGGCAGCCGGACAAGCGCACTGCCCACCCCCGGGAGCATTTTCTCTGTCTGCACACCAGGATGACTGGCAGCGACAGCTTCTCCTTGGGGCACAGTGCCTCCCGCCAGGGCAACTCCGCTCGCTCTGACCCGGGGAGACAGCCGGAAACAGCTAGGCGAGGACTCCCAGTGGGCGGGGAGGGGGGGGGGTCCCAGCCACAGCCAGGCGTGGCTGCTGTGGGTGGGAGGGAGGCAGCCTTGGGGCTCAGGTTGGATCAAATATCCCCCTTTTAAGTGCTCAGAAGCCTTGACCCCCTGAAATCTACTCTGCAGCGCCCCTTGGCTTCAAACACACGCACTCCATCTTCTCGACTTGCTCCCTGGACCCCTGGCTAACGTGACTGTGACTCCTCAGCTGTACAAACACTTTCATTTGAAAACAAAGGCACCGGACCCCTGCTGGGCGTCCCTGAGCCGCGGTAAACACTGGGTTGCAGGCCCATTTCGTGGTCTGACTTCTTCCCCCAGAGGCATCATGTTGGGGCAAAAGTGACTGGGTCCTGACAACTAGCTTTCTCCCGCCCCTGGGAGAAAGGAAGGATGCACGACAATCAACACAGGCTCCTCCCTGAAGAGGGGGGTCCTCCCGCTCCCCGGGAGGAGAGGTTCTGCAGGGCGCCTTGGGGCTGCCCCGTGCGAGGTGGAAGGGGACTTCCTCCTTCCCTTTGGCAGGGGTAGGGACAACAGGCAGGGAAGGGGCTGGCATCCATCAGCTTGGCCTCAGTGATGGACTGGTGGGGGGTGGTGTGAGTGCAGGACCCGGTGACACCCTCCAAATTCAGTCCTGTGCCCAGGAGGCGCCCCCGGCCGCGCCGCCCCCCCTTACTAGTGCTATTCACTGAACTAAAGGGTAGACTGAGGCCCGAGATGCAACGTCCTCCCCAAGTTCCAACCCCAGTCAGTGGCAGGGCCAGCACTTGAACAAAGGTCTCCGGCCTGCCAGACCCATGCCCTTCCTGCCACACAGGGCCCTACGGCCTTTATCGGGGATGGGCCGTGGGTGGGAGGTGGAGGAGAAGGGGAGGGAATGGCTGATAAATGCCAGCACGTGGGAAAAAGGTGTGTGTGGGGGGGGGGGGGTGGCGATGCCTGGTGTGTCCCAGGCCACGCCTTGGGATTCTGTCCGACATTCATTGCCCCCCCCCCCCACATCTGACCTCTGGGTCTCTGGGGAGGGGGCGATGCCAAACCCCTGGGTCTTCGGGAAGCGGGTGTAACATCAGTGACGGCAGAGGCAGTCCGGTTTGGGGCTCAAAGTGGGCCAGGGGCAGAGAGGCCCACTCCCAGCAGCTGCTGGCACAGGTGTCAGCTCGCCACGACTGCAGACCTGAACAGGACGCAGACACGGGCTCTCTGAGGGCGCTCTGTGCACGGGGCTGCCGGGAAGGCCCACGGGGGGGCGGGGGGAGCAGGCGCCGGCTGGTCTTGGGGAGACAACCCCGCAGGCTTTGGGATTCACAGTAAATTTAGTGCACTTGTGGCCAATGCAAGGCTGCTCACCAAAGGGGTCTCAGCGGAGCAGAGCCTGCAGGGGACCCCGAGGGCTCTGTGGGTTCTGTGCACCGGCCCCTGCTCGCCCCCGGTGCCCCCCCCGACTCAGCCCACCTGGAGAGTCCCAGAGACCTCACCTCCTGGGGGGCAGCTATGTCAGTAACACTGTTTGTCAGCACACACGAGACAAGAACCTAAGACCCCCTGCCCAGACCCGCACGCGTGTGAGGACTCCCCACACACATGGGGACACGCAGCCACACGGACGGACACGGGCGGGCTTCTCCGGTGGGGGCGGCAGGCCGGTCATTGCACTCGGCGGCAGTAGTAGCCCAGCACCTTGCACTTCTCGCACAGGTGCTGCGGGTGCTCCTTGCTCTGGTCGGACACGTCCAGGCCGTCAGGCTTCTCCAGGGGCCTCTGCGGAGAGGAAGTGGGAAGAGGGCTCAAGGTGGGGAGACCACGGGGCAGCGAGAAACACAGAAACACAGAGCGAAGCAGGAGAGAGAGAGAGGGAGGGAGGGAGAGAGGGGGGAGGAAGGAAGAGGCAGGAGGAGTGAGACACACACAGAGGGAGCCCAGAGGGAGTGTGCGTGGCCACAGAGATTGCTTCCCAAGGCACCAGGGCCCTCCCTGCCTCTTGCTGTCCCCAGAGGTTCGGGCAGGGGCCTTGGGCTGGGGCCAGGGCAGTGGGACAGGGTCCAGAGCCCTGGTCCGGACACCCTTTCCCACTCCCCAGTCCTCTCTGAGCAGCCACCGTAGGAAGCTCACAGGGCTAGAGGCAAGACAGGTGCACAGACATTACCGGGACAAGGAAACGAAGGGAGATCCCAGCCCACGCCTCCGGACCTCCGCGCCCAGTGCTCCTCCCTGGCTGCTGTCACCCCCGTGCCTCCGCGCGCGGCCTCAGGACTCAAGCGGAGTTTAACCTGGTCACGGTCGCGAACTCTTCGGGTTCGAGGGAACGAGCCCTCAGTTCTGTGAGGGGTCGGCAGCCAGTGCTCTGGGCCAGGCACCCCCCACTTCCCAGGGCCAGGCATCCCCTCTGCCACGTTTGTTGAGTGGCCACATGAGCGGAACCTCCTTGTTTCCTAATAGGGAAACTGAGGCCCAGGGCAGGGAGCGGACGTGCCAGGCTTATGATGCTGCTCACTCCCTGTGTGACCTCAAAGAGCCTCAGTTTCCATGTCTGTAAAATGGGCCATCATCGCACCTCATTTGCAGGGCACCGGGAGGATTCGGAGGCCTTGGGGTTTGTAAACCGAGTAGAGCAGGCACCTTTCTGTTTACCTGGGGCATGTCCCTGCTACCCCTCCCACCCTCCACCTCCTGCCCCCGCCCCCCACCCTCGGCCTCACAGCCAGCCAAACCTCGTCTCCTTGCAAGGTTTACGGATGCTATTAGGTGCGCCTCCCGAACAGTTTCTTGGCACAGCCCTGACCCAGAACCCTGCCTGCAGAGGGGTCCCCTGTCCGGATTTGGGGGGACTCAGAGGAAGCTGGCCAGGGCCAGCTGGGAGCCCCATGCTGAGGGAGGGGTAGGAGCTACAGGCAGGTGGTAGGGCAGGGAGTCTTAGCGCCATTGACCATGACCCAGGATGGTCCTGGGAGGACAGAAAAGGTGATTGCTGGCCCCCTGCTAGACCACCAGCCACTCAAAAGTAGAATATTGCCTTTTCTGCCCAAGGACGCAGCCCCTGGCCCCGAGGCGGCACTCAGAGCAAATCGTTCAGGGATGGAGCGGCAGGGGCTCTGGGAGATGCGTAGGGACAGGGTGGGCAGGGTTAAGGTCCAGGGGCAGGAAGCCCATCCCTGTGCTTCCAGGCCTGGAGCCACATGGACAGACTGGGAAAGGACGGGAGCATTGACCTCACGCACGGGGCTTACAGGCGTCCGGCATTCCCGGCCAGGGAGAATCCGTCCCCAGGGCACCGGGGTGGAACACCAGCTCTGCCGCCCTCGAGCCCAGTGACCTTGGGCAGGCCACCGACCTCCCTCCAACCCTCCATTCCCCATCGGTGAAAAGAGATGTTACAACACGTTTCTCACGAGATTGCTGTCCCAACTCAATGAAGACCAGGAATAGAATGAGATGGCATACAGCCGCTATGAATGCTGCCGCTGCCACCAATGATGATGATGATGAAGAAGAAGAAGGAAGAGGGACACCAGCTGGTAAAGTCAACACAAGTTGAAGCCAGGATGCCAACTGAAGGGCCCAGGCCGGTCACATCCCCTGTCCTCGCAGACGTCTCCCCAAACACCTACATCTCCCTGGCCTGCAAGCCCGAGGGCTGGAGCTCTCTGCAGGCCCGCCGAGCTCACTGCCTGAGCTGTAGGAAGGGCTTCCCGATCTTACACTGACACCCGAGTCCTGTACCCCCTTCTAGTCATCCCGGCCACACGGGGTCACACAGAAGTCTCCCACCCCCTATCCAAACCCAGCCTGGTTCCGTGCTGGCCAGGGCCCCTTCCCTCAATGGGCCTTCCAGGTGGGGCCAGAGAGGCAGAGTAAGCAGCGACACCCCCCGCCTTGCTCCCCATAGTTTATACTTTGCCAGGTGCTGCCATATAAATCATAGCCCCTAACCTCACCCTTCTTGGGAGGGGTGTACCACCATCTGCCTCACAGACGAGGAAACTGAGGACCCGGGACATCAAGGATCTTACCCAGGGGCCTGAGCTCCACCTCTTTCCCAAGGGCTGGTGGCAAGACCTTTCTCCTCTAGGGTGGGAGGCTAACAACATTTGCTGTGTGTGTGTGACAGAGACAGCACTAAATGAGATCACTTTATAACCATAAAGAACTTGGCAAGACTTGTTGCTGTGTGACCTTTAGCTAGTCACTTCACCTCTCTGTGCCTCCATGTTCTCCTCTGTAAAACTGGGCTGATAAGAGGAGCCCTGGATAGGATTGTTGGGAAGAGTAAATAAGCTAACATATGCAAACTTGTTAAGACAGCGCCTGGCACATAAAAAGCAAAGTGTTGGCCAGTATTAATATCACGTATTAATAATTACTATTAGGGCTATGGAAGGCTGGGGGCAGGCTGGGAACAGGGGAGCCAGCTAAGTCCCGAACCACCCCCTGCAGCATCCTCTGCCTCCCCCTCGCTGTGATCCTATTGGTGTCCTGCTCCCCTCTGCGGCTCCCCCTCCATGGTCCTGGCTCAGCCAGTCTGTGCGAAGGAGCAGGGAGGCTGTCAAGACGATTCCCCTCCACCCTCCACGGAGGGAAACGCTCCGCAGCTGGGACTAATCGCCGGGCCAGCCCCACCCCTGCAGCGAGGCAAAGCCCAGTGTTCTCTTCCGTGGGGGCAGGGTGGAGGGGCTCCGCTGGAGCCTGACAGAAAGCAGATGTGGCCGGGAGGAAGCAGCGGGGAGGAGGGTTCTCAGGAGACGCTGCCTCCGTGGTTAGAGTTCAGGGGGCAGGAGAAATAAAGCAGCCCCTCCACCACTCTCCCCACCACTGGGACCAGGCGTGGGATGCCAACCCCTACCCTCTCAGCTCTTCAAAAGCTCCTGACACCCCCTCACCCTCTGCCCGGGCTGCAGCCTCCTGCGGGAGGAGACCTCTGGGATAGGGACCAGGCTGGGCGGGGACCGGGCCTGGTCCCGGGCCCCCCGATGCTGGCTGGATAAGTGACCGAGCTCACATTCTGGACAGGTCTGGGCCTCAGTCTCCCTGTTGCACACAGCGAGTGCTCAACAGACAGGGGCCGGATGATGGGGAGAAGGTTTGGGGACAGGAAAGCAGGCCACAGGCTCTTGGAAGGTCCTTCTAGGTTGGGCCGGGAACTCTGATCCTGGCACGGAGATGAGGAAGGGGTCAGAGAAACTGTGCTCGGACTGAGCATGGCAGGAGAGAAACGAAGAAGCTGACGAGGCATTGCCGGCCCAGGGAAGGTGGCACCAGCCAGGATGGGCCTGGCACGGAGGAAGGGCTGCTGGGCAATGCAGGGGCAGGGCCCAGGAGGCTGGAGCCACTGCAGGAAGTTGGGTCCCACCCGCCTTGGGGCATCGGTCATGCCTCTCTGCTTAGGTCACAGGACAATCCCCAGCACAGACCCCCGCCCCTGCCCACCTGAGCTCCTGCAGGAACTGGCCCATTCCGGCTCCCCAGCCCACCAACCACGTGTCTTGTCCTCCGGGGCCCTCTCATCCCCACCCAGGATACTCATCTAGCCCCGGACTTTCTCCCTCTTTCCTACTAACCTGGGCTAAGTCGCATACACCCCTTGCCTCATTTTGCTCCTCTGCAGTTTGGGGAAATAAGAGTGCTGACTTCAGGGGTGGCTGAGGGGACGAACGTGTAAAGTACTCGGAGGAGTGCCCGGCCACCGCTCGCTGTGCTCCTCATCTTCCCCATCGCTGCCTCTCCCGGCAGCGAAACCCACCTGCGGCCGCCTCCTCTCTCCTGCACCGGGAACATGGCACAGGGGCCATGGGTGCTGAGCCGGGACACAGACCAGGCCTGTGTGCCTCAGGGCCAGGCTCCCAGCAGTTCCATAGACCGCTCGGGACCCACTTCCACCAGGGGACCTGGGGACCCATGTGCCTTCCCTGCCTGCGAAATCGGATGAACAGAACCCGGGCGGAGGGCAGGGCACCAATGGAGGGCATGCGGGGGTCTGGCACACGGTACCTGGGTGGCCCGCCCGCGATTCTGAGTGCCAGTGGCCAGCCCTGTCTGATTGTTCTGTTCGCTGGAGAGGAAGCTCCTGGAATACCTGGATCGCCCCCCCCCCCGACCTTCACCTCCTTTCAGCGCCTGCACAGACCTGGCGCTGAGGGCCCAGAGCCCCCCCAACAGCACGGCCACGCCCAGGGGCCTCTGACTGCCACAACGGGGCATGTTTGTGGCCTGGGCCCAGGCCTTGTCAGGAGGCACCAGGAGAGCTCAGGAGCCAGGACGGTCTCCTCCAGCTGCCCACCCCACCCCGGCCCCAACATGCTCCCCAGACATTGTGCCCTGTGCCCTGTGCCTGCCTTCCCTGGTCTCCAGGGCCTGGGCCTCTCCCCCAGTGCCCTCAGCACGTGGGTCTGCCCCTCAGCCACGCCAGTTTCCAGTCTGTCCGCCTGCGTGTGACTGTGGGTGATGGGACCATGGAAACCTTTGGGGAAGGGGTGGGGGAGATGGCGAGCCTGCAAACAGGAAATGGAGGCCAGCACGAGGGTCACACAGTCACAGAGTGTTTGGACCACGAGCACCCTCTCCTCCTCCTTCTAGTAGGATTGGGCCAAATTCTCTCCAGCGGCCCGACAGCCCCGCCCTCCGCTCTCTGCTCCCCCAGCTCGTCCCACGCTCCGTGCCAGCCCTGTCCCCTACTTGCATGTGCTGCTCCTCCCCAGCAGTGCCCGTCCCCTCCCTCCCCCCCCCAGCCCCGAGTACATGACCCTCCTCTCCCCATCTGAGCTCAGTCTGAAATCACCGCCTCAGGGGGGCCTCCGAAGCCCTCTGCCTCCCTTTCCCTCAGGCCCCTCCGCCTCCTGCTGCCCTCCCATCCCTCTGTCTCATAGCAGCAACCAAGTTCATCACTTCCCCAATGCACCGGGCTGCAGCCTCAGGGCCTCGGTGTTTTGCCCCTTATCCTCCACCCCTTCCCCTTTCCCCTTCTCTCACCCCGTCTCAGAGGAGACAGAAAAGAAAGCTCTCTTGGAGGGAACTGGTCTCATTCCTGCCATAGGAAGGCCTAATGAGAGACAAAGTCACTCTCCCTCAGCCCTTCCGGGACCGAGCCCCCTCCCCGCCCCCCCCCCCCCGCCTCCAGCACCCCCGCCCGCCGGCCTGCTCACCTGCTTGTGCGGGTACACGTTGATGTGGCACTTGATGCACTCCTGCCCCATGTTGGCCCAGGAGTTCCCGCTCATCCATTTTCGCTTGCACTTGGGGCACTTGTACTCGCCGAAGCAGCGCTTCTTGCCCTGGTATGGGGTCAGACCCTCGCCTTTGGGGCGGGCCTGGAAGACAGGAAGCAGACGTAGGGGGTTGGGGTCCACCCAGCCAAAATGCTGCCTCCCCCCCTGGAGTCCCCCTCTTCAGCTCTCATACCCCATGTCTCCGTGTGCAAGCACTCTGTCCCCAGTCCAGAGAACACCAGGGTCACCCCAGAGCACACACGAGGACCTGAGGCTGGGAGGCAGAGGACAGAGGTGTGGGGTGGGGTGGGGTGGGGGTGACGTCTTTTTCAGTCAAGGGCGCAGGGTCCTCAGTGGAGCCAGGAGTCACCTCCTCAGCGACCAGCTCAGCGGTCACAGAGGCGTGTGAGCCTGCGCACAGGTGCTCGTGGCCCCGTGCGTGGTGTGAGGGTTACTGAGGAGGCAACACGGGCACCGCCCAGCTTCGTACACACAGAGTGCCTCACCCCTGCTTCCCGCCACCCTCTCCCCGCCCTGGAGGCACATGGCCCCGAAGATACACTCCACGTTTACGAACACCTGCAACCTATGTGCACACATGCTTTCTGCCCTTGCTCGTTTAGAGACGTTATACTGGTTATGCATCTTTCTCTTTTTTACTTAATGTATCATGGACATATTATTGTAAGATATATACAGGGTGTCCCCAAAAATGTATACGCACGTAACAGGGGACAGCTTCGTTGATTTTTCTTTCTTTCCACATGTCACCCATTGGAATGACTAATTATTCCAAGTGTGTATACCTTTTGGGGGTCACCCTATGTCTAATCAAGTATCCTTTTCCCACAGGAGACAAACAGAGCTACTGTCTTGTAACAGTGGCAGGGTATTCGCACACTTGCAATTCCAGTACAGCCACAGAACATCTGGGTGTCTCTACTCCTCCACTATTACAAACGATGCTCCAGTGAATAACGTGTGTGTGTGTGTGTGCATGTGTGTGTGCGTGTGCGTGTGTGTAGAAAGACAGACAGCATTTGTGGAATACATTCCTAGAAATAGAAGTGGACGTGCACTTTTAAGTTTTAAAGATAATGACAAACCACCGCTGCCTTCCCCTGGGTGTCCCGGCTTCACCTCCTCACCAGCATCCTCATCACTGCCATCCCAAGAGGCCATCTTCTGAGTAGCTTTGACTCGTGTGTCTTCTATTGGGAGCTTTCCCCATGCATTTAAGAACCGTCTGCAAACTGTTAGTCCGAATCCTTCGTAAACCTCTTTCCCTGCTGGGGTTTGGTAATTTTCTTTGTCTGTAACTGCACTTTATATATTAAGGAAACTAGCTTTTTCCTATATGGAATTTTTAAAAATAGCTTTATTGAGTCATGACTCTACATCTTACTTATTTAAAGTGTACAAATCAACGTTTTGCAGTATAGTCACAGTTATACAACCATCACTACAATCTAATTTTAGAACATTTTATCACCCCCAAAAGAAATCCACCTCCTCACCACTCAGGCCTAGGCAACCCCTAATCTACTCTCTGACTCTAAAACGTTCCCTATTCTAAATATGTCATGTAAGTGGGATCATACAATAATCGCCCTTTTGTGTCTGACTTCCTTTATTTAGTGTAATGATTTTAAGGTTCATCCATATTGTGGCATGTGTCAGTGCTTCATTCATTTTGTTACTGGAAAATAGTCCATTGTGTGGGCATACCATGCTTTATGTGCACTCATTCATCAGAGGATAGACACTGAGTTACTTCCAATTCTCGGCTGTTAGGAGTAATGCTGCTGTGAACACTCATGTATGAAGCTGTCTAGTGCTTATAAAGTTGAATTCATTGCCCCAATATTTAAAAGTAAGAGATTTCATACAGAAAGATGACCCATTAGTCCGGAATGCTATAGCATCCATCAGCTGAAGTTGCGAAGTGGCCACCCCACCAGACAGAGGCCACCGGCACCGTGTCACCTACGTGGCACGTGCAGGCTCGGAGTCGGAGACAGGCTCTCCCACAGGCTCTGCACTGTGACTACACCCCTGTCGCCTGTCCCTCCTGGACTGGCCTGAGCAGCACCCAGGGAGCCCATTAGAATCGCAAAATCACAGGCCCTGCCTCGGATCCACTGACTCAGAATCTGCACACAGCCAGATTGAACCAGAGGCCCGGGGGTTCACATGCCTTAGAGTTTAAGAAGCATTGGGCTATGAGATAACCTGTTTCCATAGTAACGTTTACCTGGGAAACTGCCTGTTTATGAGGTTGTGCACCGAGGTCCAGAGCACAGACTCTGATCCAAATCCAGCTCCGTGGTCAATAGCAGTTTACTTCACATAGGAGTGGTCTCAGAATTAAATGAGATAATACACGTAAAACACTGAAAACTGCAAACCATCGACCTCTGAGTGCCTCGGCTTCTTCGTATGGAAACCCAGGGGATGATGAGGGAAGGCCTGCCAGTGGATGGATGGATGGTTGGTTGGTTGGTTGGATGGATGGATGGATGGATAAGGGAAGGCCTGCCAGTGAATGGATGGTTGGTTGGATGGATGGTTGGTTGGATGGATGGATGGATGGATGGATGATGAGGGAAGGCCTGCCGCTCGGGCTGCTGGAAGAATGGCTGCTCCCGTGCACGTAGGTGAGCCCAGCAGGTGCTCTGTCCCGTGGGCAATTTAGTGTGATTCTCTCCTGGGCCTATCCAGGGAGAGGGAGCAGGCTAGGCCCAGGAGAAGGGGGGCTAGAGCTGAGGCCAACGGGTGAAAAAAACATAAGAGGAAAGTTCCCAGGATGGGGGAGGCCTGGGTAGAGGTGGGCTTGCTCCCCTGGGTCGTGGGAAAAGGAAAAAGGAGCAGCATTCGGTGCCTTCCCCTCCTGGAATTCTCAGGCTGGCACCCAGGCTGCGGAGGCTGCGGAAGTTCTGCAGACTGGGCTGCCGCCGGAGGAGGGCAGAGGGAGGGCGAAGAGAGCAGACATTTACGAAGCACTGTGTGTGCTGCATCCTGCAGGCCCCATTCACCTCTCCCCATAACCCTGTGGGCAGGAAATATCACCAACCCATTTACCAGATGGTGAAACTGAGGTCCGGGGAAGAAATAAGACTTGCCAAGGAGTTTTCCAGTGTGAGGAGCAGGAGGCGAGGCCCCGTCTTGGCTCCCCTTTTCTGTCACCCCCAGGTGAGTCCCCGTTATGAAGCTGGGGCCTGTGCTCGGGAGGAGAAAGCCGCCAGGCCCGGGCCCCCCTCCCCCCCCCCAGCCAGTGGCTCTGTCCTCCTGCAGGCCAGAGGAGAGACGTGGCCTGGCGAACAGGGGGATGGAGGTGAGCAGCCGCCTCTGGAAGGGCTCGGTCCCAACGTGGCTTAGCCTACAGATGAGATGGGGCCACGGGGAGCAGAACTTTCTGACAGAACAGAGGCTTCTCTACCCCCCACACGGTCCCACTGCTCCCTCTCAGAACGGCCTCTTCTCATAAACTTCGCATGAAACAGCTGGTTCTGCCGACGGCTCTGCAGGGGCCGCCGCCGCCTCAGCCGGGAAGGGTGCCAGGCCCAACCAGGCTCTCCTGACCCGGGCCCCTGCCACGTCCCCTCTGGGGAATCAGATCTGCCAGGAGCCTGGGCAAAGCTCTCTGGGGCTCAGAAACCATGGCTTCAGGCACAGACAGGCCCTCTGGAGACCAGAGGATCAAGGGGCTTGCTCACGGGCACACAGCAAACCAGGGACCAAGCTGGGAGGAGGGACTGGGCCCCCCTGACCTCTGAAGCTGGGGCAGAATGGCTGGGGAGTGTGTGTGTGGGGGGGGGGGGGGCGTGGGAAGTGGGCCCTGGCGGCCTGCCTGGGAGCAGGAGGAGCAGTGAAAGTGGGGCTGCGTTGGGGGTGGGAGAGCCGTCCAGGCAGCCAGCATCTTGGGAAGAGACACAGATGATGCTGGCACTGTTTGGATGCTTCTTCGGTTTTCTTTCCACCAACTCGTGAGATTTCTGGCCATCCGCCATAAGATGGTGCCCTCCCGGTCACTGGGGATCGGTAAGCAGAAGCTGGGTGAACAACTAACTACCAGGACAGTTGCCCCGGGGCCTTAGGACCTGGTCAGGCAGAGGGACCGAGTCACATTGAGGGCATTTCCAACTCTCTAGTCCTTCCACTCTTGTTGCTGATGAAGGGCCACCAGGCAGGTGTGAGAGGGGCACTAGGCTGAGGGCTGAACAGGTATGTTTCCCTACTGTATTTCCATCATGCAACTTGGCAGTAAGCCTTCAAATGTAAAAAAAAAAAAAAAAAAAAAAGTCCAGCCCTTCCTCTCACAAATCCAGTCCTGATCAATCTTTCTAACCGTGACTGGAGCTGTGGACCAGAGTCCTGCTCTGGGCTGTTCACCGCGGCCTTGTTAGGACAGTGAGACACTGGAACAAGTTAAGCGTCCAACAGGATGCTCTGCTTCCCCGCCTGATGTCACACCCATTGGATGAGTGACAACAGAGCCATTAAAATACGTATGAGGATTCTTTAAGGGTTTGAGGAAACGCTCACAAAGAAAGCAGGGTAAGTGATCCAATATCGGCTGCTTTCAGAGTGAAACTGAGAAAAGGAAAACGAGGCCAGGAATGGGCTGGCGGGAAATCAGCCGGAAGGGCTCAGAGGCCGCCTCCAGAGTCTGCATGCTCTGCTCTAATTAATGAACGGTCTTAACCAGCAGGTACCAGCACACCTTTGACAAAGGTAGTCAGTCAGCAGGCTCCCTGGCCTGCAGGCTCCGCCTGTCCACAAGGGGGCGCCCTGCACTTTCCCAACAGAGATGGTGGCTCTCCCGCTTTGCCCCGGCGGGCGTGGACCCTGCGGCCTGGGTTCAGGGCATTGGTGACCTCTGGCTACTAGTTCCGTTGGACTCTGCTCGGGTCCAAAGAGCTGTCCTCCTGCCATCCATGGAGTGGACTTCCTACTCCTGGATGCCGCCTGCTCCCTGGATTTGAGGACAGCCAGACAAGTATCCATACTGGCCACAGGACACAGAGCCCAGCTTCCCAAAGTCCCACCAGGAGGGAGCCAGCCTTTAGGGTGAAGCAAGTTAGAGGGAGCCCCTTTTGTGG